GGATGTGGACCCCATGCAAAATTATTAAAATCATTATACAATGCATTCAGATTTGACAATGTGCAGTATTTGAACCACCACGCTCCTTTATAGTAAGCAGCACAACTTCCGCTGCTGTAGTGATCATTGTCGCGATCGATTGTTGAAAACTTCATCCCATTTAGATTAACGTCCGAGTCTGTGGTTATCATCATGTCACCTACAAAACAAAATGTTCCTTGCATTTATATAAAAACTGGTACGCTATATGAACATCTTTTTTGAAAGTCCCATTTTCCTTCAGCCTTTTTGGCACACTGTTCATAGAAATTACTAGAAATTTTCAATACGACATCGATCTATTGATGTGATTTAGGCCTAAAAAAAAAAAAAAAGGGACTAAGTTTTTTGGGATTTCTTTCTTTTTCTTTTTTTTTTTTTTTTGAAAAAAAAAAGTATGGATAGTATTATATTATGGATGTCTATCTTTTCCCCATTGTTCTTTCAGGAAATATTCATTGGTGGATCGTTCTGTTGAAATAGGTTCTTGTCCAAAAAAGAAACCTATCCACTGAGCTTTTGCATCGTAGATAATAAGTTGAACATCATACAGTTTCATTTTTTAGCGTCTAAATCCAGTAAGACTAACAGATGCTATTTTTCAAACAAAAACCTCGACAATTCGAGCGTCAAAACTATGTCTGCAACTATCGCACACCACTTCATAATCAAAGGATTTAATTAATGACACTTTTATAGAATCTTCATTTCTTCATATTTAACGTATTTGGCACACTTTACACTTTGGTGAAGTCGTCAATTAACTCGTCGGGTTACGTCGCTGAATGAAATTTAAGGAGATTTTTATTATTTTTATCATTTCCCTTGTTCACTTCCCATTTTACATTTTGATCGGAGAGAATTCGGAGTTTCCCTTGTTCATTATACTCATATCGGAGGAAAGGTAATCATTTTGTGAGCTCAGAAAGCCCAGATTACCTTTGTGTACTTTTAAAATACAGATAAAATCTGAGAAATACATGTACATATAAGTCAATCGATCCTAGAAATAGATAGAGGAATGTGTCTGATAAACTTACCAGCAGTGCCACTATAGCCTGATATCGTTAACATGTAGTCTGTATCCGTTCCCCCAACTGTAAAATGGCTGTATTGAGCATAGCCATCAGAACCGTCTTCAAATCCCAGGTTGATACGGATCTTAGTTAAACCCACAGAGGTTAAACGATGGATCTCCTTCAAACCTACATTGGAATGAGGGATACAAAATGTCATTTTCTTGAATAATTGGGCCTCAATAATTTTTTTTCAAAATCACGTCAATTTTAAATACTTTCAATATAACGAAATTGAAGAAAATGCAATCTTGCTTAAAATTTATGAAAACAAAAAATATCCTTACCTATCCAAAATTCATTAGAGTTGGAACCAAATCCCGCTTCATACTCTGTCCAAAGTTTACTGTGAAAATCAATCACTCCATTAATTCTTCGCTGAATTACCTACAAAACAAACCTCATTCTGATTCAGTTCTGAATCAGATAATAGTTGGCCGTAAAATATACCCCCCCCCCAAAAAAAATAACAAAACGACATCTCGCAAAAGAAAGAAAGAAAAATCCCTCACAGTCCAAACTTCTCCTGAGATGAGTTTGCAAACATAAGAAACGTTATTTCCGTCCAAAGTGACAGGGTACTGCTCTGACTCAGGGCCGAACTTGTTTGTGATAGGGAGACAATCACAGCCCTCGGCACAGTTCATATCTACAAAAAGGCAAGGGTATTCAATGTGTAAAAAATTAAACGCTACAATACTGTGAAATCATTAGATTTAGTGGTGATTTAATTTTTGTGGACTTTGAGGGTACTGCTCATCCACAAATTAACATCCTCCACGAATTAGCAATTTTGGGATTCGAAGTCATAATCCTATTGTATGTTTAAGAAATACACGAAATTAAGTCTCCATAACCCTGTAAAATTTACCCACTTTACAAAAATTGACCCCCACGAATTTTAATGATGGAACTGTACCCATCATCTCGATTTTGATTGATAAGTGGACTGTGATATTTTCTAAATTATTATTTTTTTTTAGGTAGTGGCGTGTGTAGAAGGGGTGCCAGTGTCGTTAATTAAATACGTTGTACCTATAGTCGTGGTAGCAATAGCAGTCGTTGTATCAGCACTAGTTGTTGTTTGAATTGCCGATTCAAGAACTGTTTGTGCTTGGAATATCAACAGAGTTGTTGTTTGTGATGATAAATCTGATGTTGTCTGAGGAATAGAATTTGATGTTGTCTGGATCGACACAGTCTGTGGTGTCGTTACTTGAAGAAACTTAGTGGTTATCTTGGAAAGAGTTGAAAACATTTGAGAAATAACATTTCCTTGTTTGTGAATGAGGTATTAATTTTGAATATCATTGAAATTTGTGGTTGCACATGTTAATTAAGCATCAGCTTATTTCCATATTTATGTTTGCAACAAAGTAATGATTCAAGTTTTTCATTTCCGTTTTGATCAGCATTTTTAGTTGCCCAAAATATCTAAAACCCCCCCCAATACAAATTTATCATTATACTCACTTCAAAAAAGCGCCGGCAAATGTATGTGTTGGTGGAACTTACATCTGGCAATGTAGTCCACAGACGACATCTTGGGTAGTCCGTGACGTCACATATGTCCATAGCCATACAATCGGATGTTTCTAAGCATCGCAGACCACAGTGTATTTCAGGATTTTTACCTCCAAGTAAAAAATCTAGTAATTCGTTTCCCGGAAAATAACTCACATTTTCTGCAAAAAGAAAAGACACTTCCCTTACAAATTTTCCATGTGAAATAGCAAGACAGGTAAAGAGAAAGTTCACCAAAATCCTGTACATCTTGATGGAGATATTCCAAGAAAAAGTCGAGTACGGTCGGAAACCATTTCTTCAGCATTTATATAGAATTCATTATATGATACATAATAGAATCAGATATCATATTGGACATCAGAATTTCAATTGCAAAAATCAATTACATATTAATGAAATTTATGAATACTTTTTCAGATAATCCCTCTTCCGGATTCACCAAAATAATTTAATTCGATTTTTTTAACACATCGTTTGACTTCAAACGATGAAACTTTTTATCTTTACCGAATTGAAATCTTTGATACCACGTTTACAAATGTATTTGTATTCAGTCTTTAAAATATACGCTTTGCTTATGGGAATTACTGGATATTGAAATTAATAAAAATACAAGATTAGATATGTAGTTCAATCTATATTGTACGAGAACAGTTTTCTCAACTTTGTATTACATAGAGAATAATACATACCCTTTTCCATATCACATCCTGTATCAGCCCGAGACACCAATATCAGCCAGAGGGCCGAAGGCCCGAGGGCTGATATTGGTCGAGGGCTGATACAGGATGTGATGTGGAAAAGGGTATGTTTTATTATATTTATTACATACTTAGTAATAAAATACAGAACACATTCAGTTGAGAAGAAAATAAGTAAATAATCATGCATGGACTTCTTACATACATGTACATAGTCTAATGTCTCATAAGATTTGGGTTTGTTTCTACTTCTATTTCAATGCATTTGATCCGTTATTTGAAAATATTCTATAGTATTACATGTATTTGTAAATTAAGATTAACCTTATTTTCAAAAAGTTAAAATTAAGAGAATTTGAACCCACCAAAAATTGTGTATGATCACAAGTACTGTTATTGTGGTTTAATTTACTAAGGGTGTGATATTGACGTCACAATAGCCGTATCAGCCCTGCAGGGTTGATACGGCTATTGTGACGTCAGCCATATCGCATATGCAAAAAACCTGTATTTATTACTAAGTGTGTAATAAATGCAATTATGTTTATGTACATAAAATGAAGTATGAAGATAACAAAGCTCAAAATGCTTACCGGGAGCGAAGCCAACACGAACCCCCCAAAGCATCAGAGGTGCCATTGAGGAGAAATTGTTTCCTGTCAACCGGACCCACCCATTCCGTATTCTATGTTACGATCGAGCAGAAGAAAAAAATCATAGACAATTATATTTTATGTGTAAGTAATGACAAATTAGTATGAAAAACCTAGTAAGAATTGTATGTGCTGACAAGGTCAAATCATCGACAAAAGACATTGCAAAATGGCGACTTTAAACCATACTTTTGTTTTTTGTTTCATTAACTTGTTTGTCAATAGCTCGTTTCATATTGAGAGGCCACCATTTGCCGTGCAAGGCTATAAATTTTAGACCTATACTGAGCACTACGGGTCATTAAGCAGCGAGGGATCTTTTTCGTGCCAGCACCTTCTGCGACACGGACTTCTGTTTATAAGGTCTCATTCGAAGGAATGGTCTCCACGTCTCCCAGTTGGAATCAATCTTGCGACATGAGGATAAATTCCTCACCCAATGACTCTAGAGCAAAAGCTCTGACCACTCGCCTTAATTGCAGGGGCGACCATTTATCAAAGTCTATGTATCGAGAAATGAATGATAATAAGGCGGTAAGAAAAATACAAAATGCTTGATTTTAAACAAAGTTGTAGAAATCTCTATAGCAGCAACTTATCTGTCGGTAACATGCCTCATTTTTGAAATGTTTCATACGTAGAGCATACTTTTGATTATCGGATCAGATGGGAGACCATATTCGCTAGCCAAGGGTTTCTGATACGCTATATACTCTCCTCATGGTAACGTATCAGAAACCTTTGGCTAGCGAAGATGATGGGAGACTTAAATTAATCCCAACTACATATGATGGCATAAATAATGAAAGCTGACGATGGAAAAGCTGAAATGATCTCATTTGTCATACAATTGCAAGTTGGTTCTTGTCGTCTTAAATAAGATTATTACTTTGTGAGGAGTAAAGACTTGGGCTGGTACGTATAGAGCCTTTGCTAAACCCGAAAACATTTGTTTGTTTGTAAGGATTTTTCGAGAGTATACGAACCCGGTACATGTATGATAAATCGAAGCCAGATCTATACACAACTTAGTGATAACAGAAACACCCCCTTAAATCAAGACTCGAGATCTCCTGGATCTCACATGATCGAAAGGCTAAAAACCAAATTTATTATGCACTTACCGGGTATTTAAAACATCCATCTTAGATATAATTAAGGCCGATAAGATGAGCTGATTCAAGCAGTTATCATGAACTGAAAAGGAGTGTGATCAGGATAAAATTGGAGAAACAAAAGGCAAAATGCAGATGCATGTAGAGAGAAATCTGCATGTCACAAAACTACAACGCCTAGAGAAAAGGGGCTATTCTAACCCAGCTTCAATCGTTCTTGTTCCGTTGTTCTTCACGTTGCAGCCGAAACATAGATTCCGAGTGCTAGAGGAATTGGGAAGTAAAGTCACCTGGGGAATATGATAAGAGGCAACAGACAGAATACTTCGAGTAAAAGAAAAATTACAAAAACCTCGGATAAGCTAGAAGAATGTGTACAGAAGATATGACTGCAAAAGCAGAAAGAGCAGCAATGAATGAACACATGAAACCAGTGCGTGAGATGACTAAAGTACTAAGTAATGAGAAGAAAGACATGACAGTAGCTAATAAAGACAAAGAGGTCAAGATCCTGAGCAGCCAAGATGAAAGAAAAGGTGTATGCAACACTTTCAAGAAATATTTAACCGCCTATACAACCTGGTTACGCATTACAAGTTGAAGATAAATGAGACAGATACTGATAATACGGAAAAGCTGGAGGGGTTGATGGGATAACTAGTGGTGGATCTTAGAATTTCGTAACGGGGGGGGGGGGGGGGGGCAGTAGAAGGCAGAGGGGGTCTGGCGTCTGTACTGAAGCCCCCAGTGGGTCTAAGGCAAGATCCTTTTTGGGGGTCCAGGGTCGAATTAAGCCCCCGGAAGCTGACAAGGTCTTACAAATAAGAGATGTTTTTTCCTAGATTTTAGGATAATGGACATATAAATTTTACATACAAAAATTTCAAACCCGGGGGGGGGGGGGGGAGGACGCACACGCCCTGCGCGCCGGCCCTGGATCCGCCTTTGGTAACAGCGGAGAGGTTAAAAGCAGACTCAAAGGCAACAGAGAGGCTCTTTTAAAAAATGGAGGCAATAACTTATATCATCGATTTAGGGTAAGGTCCTGCCGATGGTAAAGATTCCAAAGAAAGGCGAAAGATCGGTTTGCGATAGTTATAGAGGTATCACACTGTTATATGTGCCAAGCAAAGAACCCGGTGTTTTCTTGTACATCAGATATTTCGGACTAAGTATTCTCCAGAATAGTGATGAAGAGGATCCAAGAAGGAGTGGGTGTACAGATGCGTGAGGAATAAACTGGCTTAAGAAAAAGGAGTGCAACAGAGGCTACACTCGATAGCACCGTAGAGCAGTGTACCAAATGGAACTCGGCATTATTTATTTTGTTAAGTAAGTTTATTTTGAGAACATTTTAGACGGGGTCACGTGACCCCGTCTATTAGTTTACTGTCAGAGCCCCTCAAAAGGAAGCCGTGGTGATAACACATGAATTAAATCTACGCTATATGAAAGAGTGCAGAAATTGTTTTGATCAAAATATAAACATTTTGTATCAAAATAAAGAAAGTGATATGAACTTTTTACTAAATCAAATTAATGAAGCATTTTGTAAATGTAAACTCCAAATATTAATTGTAAAACACACTAGTTTAACAAAATACACTCCTGCGTAGTATTACGACTGCGTACGCGTCATCCATTGTTTACTTCCGGAAAAATATTAATTCGGACCAGGTGAAATTCGGACAATTCAAAAACGTTTCTAGACTTACCAATTATAATTGAAATTTCTACTTCAAATTAAATGAAAAATGCCATTTTATATTATTCAGTTTTTTTTTTAGTGTTTGTTAATGAAAAAATTTTATCAAAACTCGTTAAAAAAAATCACATTTGTCAAATCTAGCATGAAAATTATTTTGACCCCGTCTTTCAGTACTGTCTCAGTACTTTGATTTTTTACCGTTTTAAAATTAAATTAACATAATTTTTTTTACAAAACCAGGTTGGCTTAGCAAACCCCTCTAGTTTTGACAGATTCTCCAGTTTATGTTAATGTTTTCTTCAGTTAAGACAGTTTGAAATTTCATTAATTGTACAAGTGTGTTTATATTCCAAATCATATTGAGAGTATATACTCAAGTAAGTTGAAAAGCACAAGTTAGGGATTCTGAAAAGAATTCAATTTTTAATCTTTTTAGTGTTTAAAAATTTGGTATATTAGTTGTATCTTGGAAGTCAGCTTGACATAGGACTAAATCAATTGTAAGTGCATTTAAAGTAAACTAAGACAACTTGAAGTCAACTGCTTGCATTCCCAAAATTGTCAGATTTAACATTTTTTAAAGCAAAGTCTAAAGTCTGGTGTTAAAGTTAAATTAAATTGAAAACATTTTATTAAAAATATGTGATGATCGGTCTTTAAAAAAGCTACAAAAAGTACCCCCAAAATGCTGGAAAATGCACCATTTAGAACCATTTAAAACAAAATTTTCTCGGGGGAGGCCCCCCGAACTCCCACCTATGGGAGGGGGACACCCCCTCCCATGCCCTCCCCCTTCGGCCCTTTGGGCCTCAAAACCCCCCACATGAACTTCTGGATCCGCCACTGTATCATCGCATATGTTCATTATAGTATAGCCTGGCGACGCGAAGCACGAGGAACGCGCGCGTAGTAAAGCAAAGGGACAGGGAACCAGGCTAATTATAGTAGACTTCTAAAGCTGTGAACATAACAGAGGAAGAGTAGACTGCATTTAGAGATAGAATTTCATCTGGGAACATCAGAGTCAATCACACAAATAAATGCTATTTATGTCTTTGGGGACATGTATTCATTCGTTTTTTTTTCTGAAAGGATGCGATCAAAATCTCAATTTATCTTTCTCAACTTCTTTTTTATTGATATTTTTATTTTTAAAAAAACTTCGAACAATCAATATTCCTGTTCCTAAGTTTACCCAAATCTAAGGCGGGAAACTTGACAGCTCGCTGTAGCAGCTAGGGAGCATGACGGCTGTACTTGATTATCCTGCAAGAAAAGTTTTCGTTCGAGATATATGTAAAAGTATCCGTCTACGAAATCCTGAAATCGATGGGAATGAGGGGATAGGAAAGAAACACAAAGAGTGGAAAGTGGAGTGCAATGGGGTCGAATTTATGGTGACAGTGGTGTGGATCCAAGGTCTTGTAACTGAAGTATGTGAATCTTTGCCTGGTAACCGGTAAAATATCAGTTTTAATTTATACATAATGACAGACGGTCTTATTAGCTGCTGACCTCCTGACATTGAATGAAATAATTATTTTAAAATATTTTTTTTTAAAAATCAATAGAAGTTGGGAAAGGGAACTTCAGCTAGGCTTAATCATGCTAAATTAATTATCGGCCGCAGCAGCGGCCGATCTATTTGTGGTTGTGTTAGAAAGTGCACATGGGGAAATGAGATATTATTATTTTATTAGATCAGAAAAATAATTCTCAAATGATAACATGTATAAAATCATGAGTAAAATATTTTAAAAACTTGCTTTAAATTAAGTTTTAATCGTTGTTATTTTGTTTCAATTTCATTATCATTTGACATCAGATAATTGATAATTTATGGTCACATAAAAAGATTTTACAATAGGTACTCCCCATCCAGGGAGTGTGTAAGATACGAAAGGAAATCGTTATGATTTTCCGGATAAAAATAACGTGCACGTGGTAAAAGTGCATGTTGAATAAGAAATTGAAAAGTTTCTCTACTAGTAAAAATTTGTTTGAAAATCCAACAGCTGTGAATGACACAAAGATTATTTTTATACATTTTGCACCCGCACCATGCAGCATAGCCATCATATAGGCATTATCACGTGACAAATGACCAGGATATCAACACATGGTATATCTTGAAAGGCATACATCTTCATTTTGATGACAATAAAACTTCTCATATCATAGGCGTCGGAACCGGAGTAGGGGGGGGGGTTAGCTCTCACACATTTTTTGCAAAGATATACATTATACCTAGGCTTTGAAAATGGGCTTCACCATTTTTTGTTGGTTTAGTCTTTAGTTTGCATAGAAAGTTTATTATCGGCCGCAGCAGCGGCCGATCTATTTGTAATTGTGTTAGAAAGTGCACATGGGGAAATGAGATATTATTATTTTATTAGATCAGAAAAATAATTCTCAAATGATAACATGTATAAAATCATGAGTAAAATATTTTAAAAACTTGCTTTAAATTAAGTTTTAATCGTTGTTATTTTGTTTCAATTTCATTATCATTTGACATCAGATAATTGATAATTTATGGTCACATAAAAAGATTTTACAATAGGTACTCCCCATCCAGGGAGTGTGTAAGATACGAAAGGAAATCGTTATGATTTTCCGGATAAAAATAACGTGCACGTGGTAAAAGTGCATGTTGAATAAAAAATTGAAAAGTTTCTCTACTAGTAAAAATTTGTTTGAAAATCCAACAGCTGTGAATGACACAAAGATTATTTTTATACATTTTGCACCCGCACCATGCAGCATAGCCATCATATAGGCATTATCACGTGACAAATGACCAGGATATCAACACGTGGTATATCTTGAAAGGCATACATGTACATCTTCATTTTGATGACAATAAAACTTCTCATATCATAGGCGTCGGAACCGGAGTAGGGGGCTGGGGTTAGCTCTCACACATTTTTTGCAAAGATATACATTATACCTAGGCTTTGAAAATGGGCTTCACCATTTTTTGTTGGTTTAGCCCCCCCCCCCCCCCCCACTTTCAATTAGCCCACCCCAACCCAACCCACTTTCGATTTGCTTCCGATGCCCATGCATATTCATCATAGACTTTTTTACATCGATAAATCCTTTGGATGAGTAAATGCACTATTTCTAGTTCAAAATATATATTTTATTCATTGAATTGGACAGAACAGCAGGTCAATCTAATTAAAATTAGATCTTTGATCCGCTCCAGTAGCGATCAAACTGGAGCGGATCAAAGATCTAATTTTAATTAGATTGAACAGCAGGTATGATACCCAAATTTCTATCAATTTTTAAAAAAATATTTATCTATTTATTTTGAAGACGGCCTGAAATAAAAATGATGACTATTTCAGCTTTGAATATCCTGTTGTTTTCTTGCATGAATGCTTTGAATTGTGAAATTACTTTCTTGACATCTTAAATATGTTAGCGGCCGATTTGATGCTTTGCATCAATTAACTTGTGTTATATGTTGAGGGGTCTAACGTCAGTAATATCAAGTTTTAAATAAACAATGTTTTATCACAAAGGTTAATAAAGAAGAAGGCTTCCTGATACTGGATGACAGCACTGGCAAAGTGAAAGTTTTAGGATACAACAAAATCCCCTATATCTCTCCTTCAGTAGATATAGGTAAGATTTATTGACTTGTTACTTCTTTCCTATCAGCTCTCTATTGTGCAATATAGGTCCGCTTCCCTTGCAATATTTTTTTAGCAGGAAGGGAAGATTTCAATTGTTTATATTCTCTAGTTTTAAACTCTCAGAAACTTTTTTAAAGAAGAAATATAAAAATGGACTGTTTAATAAATAAAATACCCAGTATATGCTTTCAATATTATTTTTTCATTGAATATGACTAAAAAGTTTTCTATTTATAGGAAAGTATGTTATGGTTGTTGCTTCTATGGTCAGAAGTGGAGAGCTTCCTATGGTGAATGCCATTAAACTACAGGACCTGTCTCGAGTTAGGAATGCGGAGCAGTCGTGGTCTCTAGAAGTCATGGATCAAATCCTCCATCTCAGCTCCATACACTGAATAGAACTACCCAGGAAATTATTAATCTTGTGTTGCATTATATACGTATAATGTATAATTTATTAATTTGTGAATTTTTAACCCACTGAATATGGCACATACAGACTCTTTTATTGATTTGATGAATTGCTATTCTGTACAATAATTATTTGTTAGCCTAGTCTAGATATATGTAATGTTAAAATTGGTGTATTGCTCTATGATTTGTTGTATGATTATAAGTTGCTCAAAATTTTGTTAGACTGCTTGGTTGAGTTTTTTTTTTATTTAATCACATCATGTACATGTCCTGAAATGTATTAATTTAGGTACAGATATTATATAAATTAAATCTCTGTATAATTATAGAATTTTTAAAAATATTGAATGTATAGTGTATATTATTACATATATGTTGTGAAGCAATCAATTATGCCTTGGTCTTCAAGGGCATTTATGGTACATTAGTGTGACCAGGGGCAGATAACTCGAATAATGTTTACACTTGGAGATTTAGGATGATTTTAAAACTAGCAGCTGTTGATTGTAAGACAATGTCCACCAGACTGAGCAATCTTCTGACCTACTCTAACTTTGTACATGCTGTGTCAGGAGCCACAGTTAGTGTTATTTTGTTGTTTTTATAAAAAAAATCATGCACTCATCCTTAAGTTGTAGCACATGCATGTATAAGTCATCAAAATGAAAGTACAAAAGTTTTCCTTTACAGTTTTAATTTGTTTTATTTTATATTAATGATATTGATACAATTTTCTTGGAAATTTTAAAATTATAATGAAATTAAGAATGTAAATCCGAGCTTTTGAAAATGATTAACAGATTTTCAACAGTGTATATTGTACTTTTATACTTAAATGTGAATGTAATTTATTGCAGGGCAGTGTGATTGCAATGACTGTGTTTTATCCTCTGGAAACTGTTAGAACAAGATTACAGGGTAATTATAAGGGTAGATCATTCTGTAAAAGATAATGATGAATTATGTATGTTCTTGTTTGAAATTTTTGGCCAATGGAGATTAATATATTACGTTTCTTTTAAAAATTTATGCAGTTTATGTGTAAGTGTTTTCTTTTTGTAGTTCATGTAGGCAGGCAAGCTAAACACACACCAATGGAAGCTTTAGACATTATAAAAGATGAAGGAGTGTAAGTACCCAAAATATCTTTTGAAGAAGAGGGGAAGATTTCTTTGTTTTTGTTTTTTATCATGATACTATGTATAATACTAGAACGACAAGGGAGAAATTTTTTTTTTAAATTGCTGTCTACAAAATGGTCTTTAATTATCTTAAAATATATTAAGTTATCAATGATAAAAAAAATCTATTATCTTATTTGTAGGGTACACAAAATATAATTAATTTTTTATGCAGTATTTAGTATACCAGTGTTTTATAACTATGTGTATGTTGTTTAGATTGTCCCTATACCAGGGCCTTTTTCCTGTACTGGTCACACTGTGTTGTTCTAACTTTGTGTACTTCTATACCTACAATGGTCTGAAA